TATGAAAAGTCTTCAAATCACAATATGTATAAAACAAATATAAACTATACCATGAGCATTCTCATTATATGTTTAATGTATTGCTTCATTAATATATTATAGTTTTGTTTTACTATATGAGGTTGTTTTGACGCGTTGCAATATTCACGTATATAATAATTTGGCAATATATGATCATACCTTATTTGCAAATAAAAGTTATTTTGCCCCAGGAAGATAATGAGTATTTTCTCTGTGCGAAGAATGTTCTAAAACAAATGCAGCTGTGTTTTATCCAAAGGGAGTTCTTTATACAGTTGGTAATTAATCTACAAAGCAAATTAACAGAGAAAAACAGTTATGCTAAGCAAGAGCTTTATCTAGTCTATAGTGTCAACATTAGGATTTTTTCGATGGGAAATTCTCAGGCAAAGAAAAAAAAGTACTCCTGAAAAATTAGTTACAAATATGTTTACATTTTATAAAGCAACGTATAGGCCAACATTGAAGTCCATTCATTGAACTGAAAATTGTGGAGAAGGCTGGGAAAATACCTCAACTTGAAAAAGTTACCCAAATTTTGATCTAATGTGCACGAATGTCCATTGTGTACAACTTCTGGTTTAGTAAATAAACTCGACAAATATACTATACATTGCAGACCTATAGTATATTGTTTCTTTATTGCTAGGGTCGGCCATATGGTTTTGATCACAAGGGCAACAAAATGTACTTAGGCCCCATCTTCTTCCTATATCTTGTTTTAATCTGCTATAACTCCATTCAATATATCGAAAAAATTTAACTCTCTGTCAAACTGTGATGAGGTTAAACATGCCTGAAAACTATCAGTTCTACCACACCTTACCTTATGTTAGATGTTCATTGGTTTTAAAGTAACACTATAGGGTAATAAAAACAAACGTACTCCTGACCCTGTAGTGTTAAAATTACTATGTAGGCCCTCCTGTACTCCCTAAATATACTCAGATATTAAAAATTTTCCAGCGCCGCGCAGCTTTGCTGGTGCTGGCTCGGCCCCTGATCCACCGGCAGCATCCTCAATAGATAGCTCATTGTGAAATAGACAGCTGTGAATTTTTCAGTCGGTATAGGGAGATGGTAGCACATTGAATTTTATAGCCGACACTGTGTTGAAGCGATTATCACACTGAAATCATTGAGGTGGCTAGGTGCTACAACAAAAGTTGGAGCAGGGACGATTTAGTGGGTACCACTGATCCTCACTCGAATCTAGCTGACACTGTATTTAGGGTAACATATTTAAGTTATCCATTGCGACTTGTATCCTGGTAGGGAGTATATTCCTGTCGGTCTAGATATCTATGTGGATCCAATCAGGTGTACTCACACTATGTTAGATTTCTAAATATATTTCGCCTAAAGGCATCATTGAAATTCTGCATATCGTGAGAAGCGAGCAACATTTACGGCTTGCAATATACCAACTAACTTATGGCACCATGCGTTATTGGGACATTATAATCAGGGCATAAGATGTTGCTACTTGAGTTACTCTCACTGTTAGCTTCCCGATTGATTTATTACCCAATCTGTGATATGCTACTGTGAACCTCCCCAAATATCCTAACAAGTTTACCACCTATAATTGTACCTACTTCCTCGATCCTTGAAACATAAAACAGTACATTCGTCTGAATTTTCACATTAAATTAGAGACCCATATTTTTAGGTATTTAAACCTTTTTTATAGGGTGCTCTCCACTATATATGTACTCAGGAATTGTACCACTATATATTTTCTTGGCAGTATCCACATTTCAGTAATCTCAGGCTCAGATCGGTACTTTGTTGCAAACTGTTGTGGCAACATTATATCAAACCTGTCTCAATTTGTACCACCACACAGGTGGATAGTAAAAAAAAGGTACTGTCGATTCAAACACCAGCAGTTGGCCCTTTTTTAACTAATTGTATATATTTATCTTTTTCACACTTTATATTTATATTGTTTATTTATATATCTCTTTTTTTCTTTGTTCTCTACTCAAAAAAGGATTTAATAAAATTGTAGTTCTTTTTTTGCTCTCTTTAAAAAGTCACCTTTTTCGCCTAATACTGGCAGAGCAGCCCATATTAGGGTACCTGGACGGATATTGGGTGCGCTGTTTAGTTAACCCATTCCAGGCTTTCTTTTTACTTTGTGGTATTACTGTACTGCATCCACAGAAAGTGTAATTTCAAGAAGGCAAATGTATACAAAGGAATCAGTCAGTGCTATTTACTAAAGTGAGATTTCATTTAAAGTGAACTCAAAGTGAATTTAAAATATTTAAAAAAAAATAGCCAAACTGGAACCATATCTGAGAATGTTCCAAATCAGCTAATTTGGTCTTAAATTTGGAATCCACTTTGAATTCCTGTCTATTCTCTTGATTAAATAACCCTGTATCTGTATTTTTCTTTTTACCAGATGATGCATACATGTTAAGGTAACTGATGTATTTTTTTCTCCACTACTAATGGTAATAACTTTTTTTATAATATGTACTTTTTGATATTGAACATTTATAGTCAGACTTGATATGGATGGATTGTAAGCACTTTGTGTCAGTTTATTGATACATCTTGCTATGCAAGTATTATGAATACTTGTTCTCTGATGGAAACTGACAGAACTTATGGAAAGCAGTGTACATTTGATCACCTGTAGACCAGGCATAGTCGCCCTATGAAAATCAATATCGGGATAGGAAATAAAATAAATGGGTCATTGTGAAAATCACAGATTGCTGCAGTTGGAAAAGTTGACTGATTTGTTTGTACTTATCATCACCAAAGCGAGTAGGACTGCACCATTAAAACAGCTGTGTGCATATCAGATGTGCTCGAATCTAGAATGACACTTTGCCAGGTTTGAGGGGGATTTAGAGCAGGGTGACCATAGAACATATCACCCTGCCACATGATCTATCCCCTCCTTGACCTGTACTATTCATCTAACCCCTTCTGTAGATAGCGATACAATATTACATACTACTATACAGTGCTACATTTCCACGTGGCAGGTTCTAAAAAGTCAATTTTATAAAATGTTATCACAGATAAAATGACCAGGCCAATGTAGTCTGTAAGCAAGGGTAAAAAATATATTTTTCCATGTATAAGATGACCCAATGTATAAGACGACCCCTATTTTTTGAGCCCAAAATTTAAAAAATCAATATTTTAAACATCAAATAGAACAACGTTGATATTTTAGAGTTGACTTCTGATGAGAGCAACATACTTTTGATTCTCATGCCTCCCCTGTGCTACAGGTCTCTGTGAATGCTGGGAGACTACAGCAAGAAAATTGATAAAATTGTTTGCACAACAAAACATTTCTGCGCAAACCAACTACTAGAAATTAGAGGGAATATTGCTTGTGACTGATGGTAGTTATTTATGATCAAAGGAATATAAATCTACTCTCAATGAATACTTCCTATTGAAGTAGGAAATGGACTTACAGTAATTATGTATTGGGTCTATCCACATATTTATTTAAGTAAATTGGATAATTGGTGATGTTGACATCAAACTATTGGGCCATGACTATGCAAAAGTCTAAATTCACTGCTCCAAAACTGGAATTTATCATTTATTACATGAAATATTGCATTACAAAGGACAGTTTTTACCCCATCATCTGGTCAGTGCCTCCAACCCTAGTCCGATGAGGTATTAATTTAATAAATGTCAATGCAATTAGCGCATGCTGGTCCCATGAAAGAATGGCCGTTAAACTTGTCAATAGCATTAACATACTTTGGTTTTAGGGCCTGATTCCATAAACACTGCTACACATGAAGTGAATCTGGATTTCCTGACAGATAACTGTACAGTGGGATTTGTAAGGTGAAAGCCTCCGGGTTTAACGTCAGCTGATCTCGATTCACTCTGTATTTTTCTTACTGATCTTATCTAAAGGAGAAACACATGGCTGCAAATTGAGCAGCGTCAGAGCCCAGCTAAAATTGTTAGTGTTTCACGAAGAGGAGATAATGGATCCTGACCTCATTAGCGCTAAGCTTTATCAACAAGTTGAGGTTTTAAAAATTTCACTTGTAAAAAAAAGGAACATTGAAGTCTTCAGTGTGTGCAATTCTTATTAATAAGCACATAGTGAAAAATTGTCCCATATTTTATAGCGTGGGGGGAAATTGGAGAGAAATTTCTATTTAATAATAATAATAATATAAAATTATATAGCCTGGAAGAGTACTTTATTATGAATATTGTTCACTAGTTTTTAACTAGTCAAGGGGTACTGATTTTATCCAAAATATTTTATATTAGTAATATTAAACTTTATCAACTTCCTATTGCTTCTTGTAACTCAACTCTTACATGCCTCCCATTCAGGGCCGGACTGGCCCACCGGGATACCGGGAAATTTCCCGGTGGGCTGCGGCACCTGGGGGCCGGCCGCGTTCCTGGGCCGGCACTTTAAATACTGCAGCCGCCCGAGCGCTCTGTTAAGAGCGGTCAGGCGGCTGCAGCTTCTCCCCTCCCTCCCCTGTAGCGTGGCCGAGCTGCACTCTGGTCCGCGGTGGCCGGCCGGCCGGAGTGATTAGA